TTGATTATTGCTGTCTTTTGCTATCTTTACCAATTTGTTGGGTATGCAGGGAAACTTAAAGGTTGCTTTATTTCTCTTAGTGATTTGGACAGTGTTTCATATGGTTATTAATAATTTATGATTTTTTTTTTTTGGCTTGGCAATGGGGTTAAGTACTTGCCCAGGGTCACACTGCTGTCAGGTCCTCCTGACTCCAGGGCCAGTGCTCTATCCACTGTGACACCTAGCTGCCCCATAATTTGTGATTTTTAAAAGAACTATTTGTTCATAACCTATGACCATGATTGGGGAATGGCTTCTTGTCTTATATTTCTGTTAGTTGCCAGTAGTTGTTTTATTGTTTTCCATCCAGTGATGGATGAAGAGCATGGTTAAAGTATCAGCAGCTTGAGGGCAGGTTCTGTGTCTTTTCTGATAATTCCTCTTCTGTCCTCACGTAGGATGTTCTATTATTCACAAATGTTACCTAATCTCAAATAGCAGGGCTACCATTAGAAAGAGAGGAAGGTTAACATTTAGAAAATGGGAGTAGGGTAGGATATGGTAGAAATGAGTAAGTAAATGGTTTGGAGGGCAGAGATGAGGAAGTTAAGAATGTGAAGCCATGAGAGAGAGACTAGAAATAAAGCAGTGAGAAAAACTCTAAAATGAATTGAATTAAGTATGAATGGGAAAAGGAAGAATCAATTTGTAGACTAACTATACTCGTAGACATTCCCAGATATTCAGTAGAGATTGGGAAAAGAAACTGCTGTATGTCCTTTATTTTCCTGTCCCTTGGATCCATTGTCTCTTTAAGGTTAGGTGAGGCATGCTTAGAAATGAGGGATTAGTTGCGGAGCACACGGAATGGGGTGATTAAGAAAAAAGTAACATTTCTGACTGTGTGCTCTCAGATGGTATCCAGTCATTTGTCAACTCTTGTGCTGATTCTCCCCACAGTATCGTTCATCAGTCTCCTTCTCTCTACTCCCACCACAACCACTCTAGTTTAAGCCCTCATTACATCTGGCCTGGATTATTTTAATAGCCTGCTAACTGTGCTCCCTGCCTCTGTTCTTTCCCCCTTTCCATCTGTCTTCCATATAGCTGCCATTGATAATTTTAAAGCACAGGTCTGACCATGTCTCTCCCCTGCTCAAGAAGTTTCAGTGATACCTGGTTACCTCTAGGATCAATCCGTCAGTCAAGCGTGTATTAAGCACCTACTGGATTCTAGGCATTGAGGACATACATACTACATACACACATATATACATACATATATGCAAGACAGTCTCTGCCATCAGGGAACTTAGAGTAAAAAGCAAAGTCCTCTGTTTATCTCCATCCTACCTTTCTAAAATCATTGCACATTATTTTCTTTGGTGCTTTTTGGGTCCTACATACATCATTCCTTCTCTCTTCTCCCTGCCTTTGTACAGACAGTCATGCTTGGAATATACTCCTTCTCCCTTCTGTCTGTAGACTCCCTAGCCTCCTTCTAGGCTTAGCTCAAGTGCCATCTTTAAACAAGGCATATCCCAATCTCCACTTTACTTCTCTCTAATTCTTCCCACCCCTATTCCTTGCCAGTGCACCCCAAGGCTCTGTCCTGAGAACTCTTCTTTTTTCCCTTTATACTTTTTCACTTGATGATATCATCAGCTCCCATGGAGTTCAGTTATTATATCATTGCAGCTGACTCCCATATGTATTTATCCAACCATAATCTCTCTCCTGAGCTCTTGTCATACATCATCATCACCTGTCCTTTTAGTAGGCATTCCAAACACATATCCACGACAGAACTCATGTATTCACATAAAACCACTTCTCTTACAAAGCACGGGATTGCCTTCTTCCAGTTAGCTACATTTGCAGCCTTGGTGTCATCTTTGATCTCTCACCCCACGTATACAATCAGTTGTCAGATCTTGTTTGTATCTCTGCAGCATCTCTCACAGATGTCCCACCATCCTGGTTCAGGCCTTCATTACTTTTCACCTGGACTATTGCAAAAACTTCCTAATTCAATTTCTCTGATTTAGGCCTCTCCACTACTCTAATCCATCTTCCGTATTGCCACCAAAGTGTAGGTCTGGCCATGTTACATCTACTACTCAATAAATTCCACTGACTATTATTACCTCTAGGATCAAATAGAAGGTTTTGCTATAACTTGGCTTTTCCCTCATTCTTCCCGTCTTCTCCCTCTTAAGGTATTGGCACTCTGACCAACTAGTTTCCTACTTGATATTCCTCATACACAGGGCCTTTGCATTGACTGTGCTCTCCCTCCAGGGTTGTTGTGGTCTCCTTTGTGTGTCTTGTGTATGTATACCTATACATCTGTACCAGTGTATCTTCCTCCCTGTTAGAATTTAAGCTCTGTCTTTTTATCCTTAGGGCTTAGTGCTCAATGCCTGGTAAATAGTAGGTTCTGAATAAATACTTATTGTTTGATCTGTATTTTGTATTTACTTATCTTTGTGTTCGCTTACCCTTTCCTTCCCCTTCTTCCCTTGCAAACTTCTTAATAGGAGGGACTTTTTTCTTTTCATCCCCATGGCCTAGCCCAGTGTATGGCAAAGAGTAGCTGCTTAATGAATGTTGAATGAATGAATGAATGAATTCTGTAGTATATAGCTGCCATTATCATTATTTTAAAATTTTAACAAACACCCTCTTGTTCAACATCAAGGTTATCTAGTTAATCCAAGGTTCTTAAGCGTACATTCAAGGTGGATATGGATACAGAATAACTGGGTACTTAGTAATAAATAGCAGGCTCACCAACATATTTTTATCTATTGTGGATGACAAATTCCACCGAGCATTTACAAAAGCATTTAGACAATAAATAGTATTCCAGCAGGGATTGGAGTGGAGGGGATTTAGAAAAAATAAGCATTATCTCTAAGACTGAGAGGCAGTTTCTAGTGTAGTGGAAAGAGCAGAATAATGGATTTAAGAATGTGGAGAGACCTAGATGCAAATCCTGCCTCTGATACACACTAGTGGTGACTATGAGCAAATCACTTAACCTCTCTCAGTGTCAATTTTCTCATCTTATAAGTAGAGATAATGGTACCTGTCTCGCAGGGTTGTTTTGAGGGTCAAATGAGATAATGCACCTCACTTAAATTACTGTATAAATGGCAGTTGTTGTTAAAGATGATGTTGCTGAACACTACTTGGGCACCACCTAGTGGGCTCACATGCTCTTGAGTCTCCCCACTAAGGTTCTTGAATTTGGTGATTGTTGATTCTTTCTGAGACTTAGAATTTTAGTTCATCAGTAGCTCTAGGGCACTGCACAATAGACACTTACTGCTTTCTAACCAACATTTAAAACCAGAGCGTAGGCATGGTCAAGCATCTAGGCTTTTGTAACCTTGCTTTGGTAGAAAGCTCCTGCTATGGGGACTGATCAGTTTCAATCAGAATTTTCTATGTGGGTCAGAGGCATGAATAAGTGTCTCCCTGAACTATGATAGCTCTAGGTGCTCAGGGGGTTGAGGTGAGGTGCTGTGGCAAGTAAACAGGTGCCCAATATCCAGGATATATACAGTTATAATCTAGCCTTTATGTTCAGATGTGATGGGCTCTTGTTGATTCCACCAGTCCCTATCAGTGCTCATCATGGGAACAGAAGTTTGCTGGATTTATTTGCCCCTTTGTGGTCCTTGTATATTTGGTAACTGGATGGCCAGGTTGGGTCTTGGGTTGCTGTGGAGGAGGACTGGGGATATAGAGGGAGGAGGACAACCATCTTTCTTTCTGAGTGAGGTCAGATGACAAGTATCAATACTTGAATCAATGGAGAGGAGATGGGAGGGAATTCTACGAAAGTAAACAGTTTGCCATCTAAGACTCTCACTGGGATCATGTTAATTGAAGCTATACTTTTCTTGACTAAAAGTCTGAGATAAGTGACTTCCCTGGTTAAGGGGGGGTGGGGAGGAGATGGACCTAGTTCCTTTGGAATAAGCAAATTGGGTTATCTTTTTTTTTCATTTCTGCCCTAGCCACATCAGTTGCATAGATTGTAGGGCCTTTACTAGGGCCCCCAGTTAGAACTGAGGTAGAGCACTTTGCTTGGGGGCATGGAAGGAGAGGAAGAGAAGGAGGTCTGGGTGATGGTAGGAAAAGCAGCCAATGTCAGATCTAGAGAAGCAGACTGAATCAAGCCAACTCAGTTCCTGTAATTACCTCTTTCTAGTCTAGCTCCTATCTTCAAATCTTTCTAGGCAACCCCAAAAATATCATTGTAGTCTTTGGTGGTATACATGTAAGGGGCAGGGATGGGGAATCAAACATTCATTTCTATGCAGAGAATTATAAAGTGTGTGGAGTTAGGGGAGAGTAACAGTTGATTTCAAGCTGATTTTTGCTTTTCCTCACCTCTTCTGGTACATACAAATGAGTGAGGGAGTTGTGGGCCTTGCCATGCTAAGTTCTTAGCTTTAGACACAGATGATTGTATGATAGGGGAATCATGGAGATGGCTGATGTGAGAGTAGTTGACCTGTAAAGTAATGGGTTCTGCTTAGGACCTCTGACTGAAGCTAAGCCATCACCGCATTCTCCTGATGGTGTCATTTGCTTTAGATGAGTTTATCAACCTAGGAGGAAGCTTCATTCCTTGGGCCTGTATAGTCTTTGTGAAGGCTAAAAGTGAAATGTCATAAAGACAAAGGTGATATGGTGGGCTGTGTGTTTGTTTCTTAGTCTTAGTCTGGTAGACAGGATCAAAAGTACTCTCCCCCATAGTGAGACTGCCAGAAACAGCATTAGAGATATATCCACTACATTATGCTGTGACATTATTGGGTAGACAAACTTCTGTGAGCACCTTATTATTTGAAACAACCTTTAATAGAGAAAATTTTTTTCAGTTTTAAGTGTATAAATCAGCAGTTTTGATATGAATATTCTGTGACTGCAGTAGAAGGGAAACAATATAGCTTGCAGTATAATTTTACTGATTTCTTTCTTCTTTTTCCTTTCTTTTTCAGGTTGTCACAGAGTAAGATGGATGGTAGCTTTGATTGTGATTGTGGTGAGCTGGAGCCACCTGATCACTAACAAAAGACATCTTCTATAAACCAACAGCTGCCAGAGCTTCCTAGTCAAATAAACAGTAAACAAAGGAGGAAAAGAAACAAAACTAACATAGTGCTTACTGGCACCCTAGAAATGATGCTGCTCAGGACCAGTCCAACACTGAATGTATCTGCACTGTGAGGAGAATGTTCAGAGAAGCCTATTGTGTGCATATTTATTCACTTTTTTGTTAAATGTTAACTCGTTTAGCACAGTAAAGCTGAGTGCATAGTATGTCATTTCATTCCGTTTGAGTTTCTTGAGTGTTTTCTTTAAATGTCTGCAGAGTTGCTGCCCCTATCTTGAGCTATGGATACTGCAATCTTTCTAATTCTCAGTATGAGTTAGAGCTTAAAAGCTGTAAATTTAAAGGGAACTCACCAGGCCTGGTTGGCACATGCGATGAGTATCAAGAAACCATCTTGCAGTGGAAGCAGAATTATTTTTCTCCCTTTTTGAAAGATCTTTCTTTTTGATGCCAGTTTCCTTCCGTGTTTACACAAGTTCATCAGTTTGAAAGGAAAAATAATATTAAGTGTTTCAAAATGGCAGAAAAGTTTGAAAGTCTCATGAACATTCATGGTTTTGATCTGGGCTCTCGGTATATGGACTTAAAACCGCTGGGTTGTGGTGGCAATGGCTTAGTTTTTTCTGCTGTCGATAATGACTGTGACAAAAGAGTGGCTGTCAAGAAAATTGTTCTTACAGATCCCCAGAGTGTTAAACATGCTTTACGCGAAATCAAAATTATTAGAAGACTCGACCATGATAACATTGTGAAAGTATTTGAAATTCTTGGTCCCAGTGGAAGCCAGTTAACAGATGATGTGGGCTCTCTGACAGAACTGAACAGTGTTTACATTGTTCAGGAGTACATGGAGACAGACTTGGCTAATCTGCTAGAGCAGGGCCCTTTACTGGAGGAGCATGCCAGGCTTTTCATGTATCAGCTGCTACGTGGGCTCAAGTATATTCATTCTGCAAATGTACTGCACAGAGATCTCAAACCAGCTAATCTCTTCATTAATACCGAAGACTTGGTGCTGAAGATAGGTGACTTTGGTCTTGCCCGGATCATGGATCCCCATTACTCCCATAAGGTATGTAAAAGAAATGCTTGTAGGGGTGCGCGCATGTGTGTGTGTGTGTATGTGTGTGGGGGGGGGGGTTTAATCTTTCCAAGGATTCTTTTGGATCTGAGGAGAGAACCTTTGTGCTCTCTCTGTGCTTTCTCTTTTCTAACAAACTTAAAACAACTTCTGTAGATTTTTTTTTTAAATTCATGATGTAGCCCTGTTGGGTAGGTAGGTGAGAAGGCATCTTAATTTTTTGGGTAGGGAAATGGAAATGAAGGCTATCTACATTGAAAACTGCATTGTGAGTTTTACAGACTCAAGGCAACTTTTGATTTCATCTCAAGCGTAATTAGGTAGCTTATCTTGACCTTTTGCTTCCCTTTATAGATACTAGCATTTTGGTCATTTTATTCATTGCTTTAATAGCTTCACTGAAGGATAAAAAGAGGAAATTAAACAAAATAAGAATTCCTGCTATCTGTCCATTACTTTATTAATTTTGTTGTGGTGAAGAAGGTTGTAAAAATAAGATTTGGGCCCTTATATTTGTGTATGATATCCCTATCCCTCGTTACTTTGACTTGGACTGCAGGATACATCTTTGCTGAAATGCTGACTGGGAAGACCCTCTTAGCAGGTTTGAATTTCTTTCTATATACACATATGCACACATAAAATATAGAAATTAATCACATGCAGAAGTAATTTTTCATTTATTGAAAACAGTTGAGGATAATTGAGAATGAATAGTGTCAATCAAATTCTATGTAAATGACACTAAACTAAATCTGTTTAGTTACCAGTTCTGTTCCATTGAATGGAACAAAGAGGAAAAGGGACTTCAGATGTAATACAGAAGCATTCTTTTTACTCTTCTGTGATTTCATTGCTGTAGAGAACTCCTAGTAAGGAACTCCCTTTACCAACACAGATCAACACCTGCTAGTCCTTTTAAACATTTTTTTTTCTCAATTGCATGTAAAAACAATTTTTAACATTCAGTTTTTAAACTTTTGAGTTCCAAAGTATCTCCCTTCCCTTCCCCTTCCTTGAGAAGGCAAGCAATTTGTTATAGATTATACATGTACAATCATGCAAAACACATTTCCTTATTAGCCATGTATAACTGCTAGTCTTAAAAAGTTGCTTGGGGCACTGAGAGATTGATTTGTTTAGAGTCATACAGCCAGTGTTCATCAATGACAGAACTTCAATCCAGTTCTTCTAGATATGGAGGCTTTCTCTCTGTCAACATTGCCTCTCAATATAAAATTATAAGATTTAGAAAAATCTCAAGCAACATCAAGTCCAGTACTCTCTATTTAAAGCATGTGAATAACTAAATGATATTCTAGGAAATATAGTTGTGTATCCTTGAAGGTCTTCAACCCTAGAGACGTCCCAGAATCTCATAGTAACTTATTTTTCCCCAGTGTTTATTATCCTGGTGATCAGTAAGTTCTTCCTTTTTGTCCAACTGAAGGTTTTTTTTTTTGTTTTGTTTTGTTTTTTGCTTTTTGGTGAGGCGATAGGGGTTAAGTGACTTGTCCAGGGTCACACAGCTAGTAAGTGTTAAGTGTCTGAGGCTGAATTTGAACTCAGGTCCTTCTGACTCCAAGGCTGGAGTTCTATTCACTGTGCCACCTAGCTGCCCCTGATGTATTTTCTTTAATGCCAGTTTCTTCATGTCTGTAGAAGCATAAACAAGCATTCAGCATCCCCCTTGTTAAAAGATTGATCGTCACCTTTTTGTAGGACCTATTTTTAACTGTTTGGGTCTTGGATTTGAGTCATTTATGTTAAATGGGCAAAAAAAAATTCAATAGTAGGGGATATTACTATTTCAGCAAGTTACTAATTCATATATTTGGTTTGATAAGTGTGGTTTTGCCTGAAAGCATAAGGTGTTTGATTGCTTACGTGAAAGCTTGTGGTGTCTTCTTTCTTTGTAATGCTTTAATATACAGGTCCACTTTGCTTTTGGCAAGCATGATATAGTGTGGAATATTAATTTATACAGAAGTTAAATTATTCACAACAGGATTCCTTTAAATCTAAGTTCCCCTGTTGCATTTAAAATGCTTCAATTCCAGTGCACATGATTTTGGACACATGATTGATGCGTGAAGTGAATTATACTCGTATGTATAACTGTAAACATGTGAAGGACATCTTAACCTTTTTGAATGTGCAGTAGAGCCACATTTTAGCATAATAGTCAAGAAATTACATTTATTGATTACATTATATCCTTTTGTTTCTAAAAAGATAGGTCAGAATTCTAGGATATGGCTTTTTCTCTAAGGCTTTGGCAATTTAAACATTTTAGAATTACTGACTTAGTTAATACCCCTGATTTCTCTAACATTTTTGACTTATGAGTGCCAAATGAAATCTGCATTTTTCCATGCATATTGTAGTGAGGTCTGTTCTGCTATGGAAATGGAAGTTAGAGAGATCTTCTTGAGAGAATTGATACCCAAAATAGCCATTGCCCTCCAAAAAAAAAAGTTTTAAAATTTCAGTTTTTTTAGATTTAGACATTTGTTAGGTCAGATTTATTTGTTAAAGTAACATTGTAAAAATAAGCTTTTCATTTTTTTAGGGTCATCTTTCTGAAGGATTGGTTACTAAATGGTACAGATCTCCACGACTTTTACTTTCTCCTAATAACTATACTAAAGCCATTGATATGTGGGCTGCAGGATGCATCTTTGCTGAAATGCTGACTGGGAAAACCCTCTTTGCAGGTTCGAATTTCTTTTTATATACATGTACACACACACACTATGTAGAAATTAATCCCATACAGAAGTAATTTTTCATTTATTGAGTAAAATTGATCTATGTACAAATCAAGTAATTTACCGTGGAATGAAGAATTTCAAAATTCAAAGGTGAATAGTGTTTTTTTTTTAGCAGTTTTTTAAAAAGTAGGTTAAATAGCATATGTATATTTGCACTATCATGCAAACCCTCTGTTTACTTGAACTTATGTAACTCTACAGTATCCTTTTATGTATTATGTTTGCTGATTGTTGCCCAAAAAATGAAGTTCATTTTTAAAGCCAGTAAGATCCTATGTTATTATTGTGCCATCTGTCACCTGTGCTGTGCACCTTTATCACTTTTGGTCTTTGCTGCTGATGCCCTTTACTGCTCCAACTGCTGAAAGTCCAGCTAGTTTTTTTCTTTGGCCTCCCATAGTTTTGCCACTTGAACTACTACAATTTAGTGGCTGTTGTGATCTTCAGAAATTTAAAACAGATATTTATCGAGTGCCTGCTATATCCTGGCATTATGTTTGGTGGAAACTTCTGGCAAAAATGATGGTGACCTCAAAGATTTTAATCAAGCCCAGCTCACCTGCAAGACCATGGTACTAGGCACTATAATAGATAAAGTGGGAGATAGTGTAGTCCCTGTCAACAAATAGTTTATTTGTAAAAGTTAAGGCTAATACAGGAAACATCAGATTCTGCCCAAGGCAGAGTATAATAAGTAAGTGCTAAATGTTGGTTTTGAATGTAAATGCAGTAGAGTTGTTCATAGGAGAGATCAGTGATAGCTGGAGTTGTCAGAGAAGGCTTTATGGGTGGGTAGGAGTGGAGCTTTGGGCATGTAGACTAGGTGGCATTTAGATAGATAAAGGTGGGAAAAAAAATAGGTAGGACAAATAACAAGCAAGAATGAACACAGTATGTTTTATGTAACATTCAGAAAAACATCCACACTGGAGCTTTGGAATTCATGTTGGAGATTCTTGAAAAATAAAATTTGTATAGGCTGGGCAAGATTATGAAGGACCTTGGAAACCAGTGAAGAGTTTAGGTTTGATAAAGTAGAAAACAGGGAATCTTGCGAACTTTTTGAAGAGGGAAATGATATGATGATCTTTAGAGTAGACTTTCTCTTTTATTTTTAACCCTGTTGTGGGGAGGTTAGTAAATGAGTGGTAAGAAATCAGTTTTAGAGAAGAGTTTAGCTTTTGATGAGATAGAGTGAGTGTTAAGGAAAGCATAAGCATAATCTATGTTAAAGTAATTTTTAGCATTAGTACTCATTACAGATATCTGTTTACATGGAATTTTCAGATTTCTGTATAAGGTTTTTCCTGATGAATATCTTAAGGTTCATCTGTAAAATGTGATCATGATAGGAAATTTCAATTTAGAAAAAAATTGAGACTCCCAAGAAATGGAGCCAAATAACAGGTAGAGCCCATTTCTCATCACAAAGCATTGCTGCCACTCACATCATGAAGTGGAGAGTTAAAGCATATTCTCTTTCCCTGTAGGAATGAATATTCTATTTGGGGAATGTTTCTGACTGAGGACTTAGAATCAAATCATTATTTATAAGAAATGGTGAGGCTTAGGGAAAATTCTGGCCTGGGAGGCAGGTTGTGGGATTCTAGTTCAGGCCCTCTTACTGCTGGTGGTATGAATCACCTCACCTTTCTGGGCTCCAGTTTCATCATCTGTAAGATGGGTATATTGAAGTAGACAGGACTCTGATGTCTCTTTCAGCTCTAGCAAGCTGAGACCCACACTGTCATAAAGTAAAGATAGTAGCTATAAACATCTAAAATTTAAACAGTAAAATTTTGGTCCAAGTCCTATAAAAATAGATGTAATGGACTAGATACATTATAGCATACATACATACATAAATGTTGGAGGTATCAAAGATTTAACCTAAAACTGATACTAGCTATAATAAACATCTAATTTATTCACCTTTTATAAGGTCTTTATTTATATGATATCTATGGCCCAGTTAACTTTGGAAAAATATTTTTGGGTACGTATAATCTTGATGCTTTTTTTCCTCCTCTCTCTTCCTATAGCAAACTGAGGCATCCAAATTATTCCTTTGAGTTGAGTTCAGAGGATCTGCCCTTTTGAGAAAAACTCATAGTTCCCCTCTTTTCCTATTAGATGCTATACCAGTACCTCGGTAAACTATCCTAGAAAAGGAGTTGGAAGTTGATTTAGATATTAGGCACTCTTGAATGGAATGTGAAGCATCAAAAGTTGGGGGCTGCTTTCATTTGTGTTGTGGTTTTGTAGATTACAAAGTGCTTTCATATCTGTTCTCAGCTTTATAGAAAGCTATTTGTAAAGAATGTTAGGGATCATTTGGTCTAATTTCCTCATTTATAGATGTGGAAACTGAGATCGTTGAAAGAATGTGACTTGCCATGGTCATTCAGTTAGTAAGAGTAACATCTGAAGCTGAAAATTGTTTAGCATTATGATCTCTAACCAACATTTCAATGTATAGGCACTTTCTAATATTTACTGCATTGGTATCTTAGGAGCTCTATCAGAAAACAGAATGATGGGAAATGGGTTCTTTTTAAAAAAGAGCTAGTACATAGCACTCAGTTATTGTTTTTCCCAGTAGAAATACTAGGATTTAGAAACTGGGAATTTTAGAGCTGGAAGGGACCTTGGAAATCACCAGGATTGGTTTTATCATTTTGTTTATATGGAAACTGGTCCAGAGATGTTAAATTAATTGGCTGAAAGTGTACAACTGGTTAGTAGCTAAACAAGTATTATATTATGACTCGGGTCTCTTAATTTCAGTCTCATTATTATTTATACTATAACATGTTGCCTTGGCATGATGTCCCAGCTAATGAATCAACTAAGACAAGGTATGGGCAAACAAAAATTACGAAAGATTTTTTTTTTTGGAGACCAGCAGTTGAGAGGATTAATGACATTCTGGGTGGTGAAAAAGGAGGAATTAGGTCTGTAAACCTAATAAAAAGTGCATTTCAGCTAACTATAAATGTTACTTGGTAAAAGTTATAAAATATAATGGAAATTATAATAGGTAACGTGTGTTCAGTTAAACATTTTTAAAGGTCTTGTACGAGAGAGTGTGTTGGGTTCTGGAGATACAAAAGCAAAAACTGAAATAGCAAAGAAGTATGGTATAGTAGAGGCTGACATCTGAAATCTGAGCTGGTGAATATTTCCCTTCTCCTGCCCAGACTCAGACCCACTCAGCCATCTTCTCGTCGTACGCCATGTTACTGCTCGTGTGCTAGGGACACATCCTTTTCCAACTGTAGGTCTGACTCTGTTATTTAGTGTGTATGTGACCGAGGGGGGCGTGGGAGGAGGAGGTAGATTAGATGATGATCTTTAAGGTTCCTTCCAGTTTAAAATCTATGACTCTTTTGACAGTCCCTGCATTCAAGGAGCTATTATTCTATTGAAAATTAAATACGTATACAGATACATATAGATACATAAAGTAGTTTGAAGGGAGAGATCACAATTTTCTGACATTTTGGGGGCTACTTGAGTCATTGTTTTTTATATATATATATATGTTTTACTTGATATTTCTTATTCAGGTGCACATGAACTTGAACAGATGCAGCTGATTTTAGAATCTATTCCTGTTGTACATGAGGAAGATCGTCAGGAGCTTCTCAGTGTAATCCCGGTTTACATAAGAAATGATATGACTGAGCCACACAAACCTTTAATTCAGCTGCTTCCAGGAATTAGTCGTGAAGGTAATCTGGATTGAGGTTAACCGTTATTTTCTTTGACAAACTAAGGAAAGTCTGATCTTAGTTTTTTTAAGCATATGCATGATACGTTTTTTTCAATGTCTAAGGGCATCTAGATTCCAACTTTTAGTATTCTCTTTTTCATATTTCACTTACCCTTGTCTCTCTTTGCCTGTCTGAGATCACTTTCTGGCTCTAACCCTGTCTCTTCTGTAGCCTCTCTAGTCTTTGGTGCCTTTGGTAATAATAGAGGAGAGATGGCTATTGTCATCAAGTATCCAAGTTTCTAGGGAGTCATAACCAAGAGTAGGATGACTCCATGTTTGTCTGAATAAATATGAAGGTGTGGCTGTGAATGAAAAGATAGAAGGGGGAGAGGGGATGACTAAGTCAGTCAGCAGCATGGAGTGAGACTGCAGGGCAGGGAGATGCCTTAAGACTTGGAGGCAGGGAGGGATGGTGAAGGGAGGAAAGATAGAACAAGACTTAAATAGAACTAGTAACTATGAACGTGTATAAAGAATGTACAAGTGTTGAGCATGTTATATGTATTAGATACCAACTCGTACAAAGAAGTATAACTGAAAACAGTATGTATAAATATGAATGATGAGAGAAAAAAGTAAGGAGATACAAAACTTTAGTTGACTACTAAAGCCGTTTTCAGTTTTATATCAGGTTATATGTCACTTATCTTTTTGGATCCATGTTAATATAACAAAATACAAAGGACTTTAACTATAGTAGTAATCCAACATTAATTGTAATGTTGAAATTTTTATAAGGGGCAAATATTAGTAATGAAAGTTATTTTTGACTTATATTCTTAAAAATTCATTTATATCCATCAAGGATTATACCCATTATGTGACCGTTCATTCTAGTGTTCAGTCTGACAGTGGCACCAAGTGTTTTGTTTTCTTTTTTAGAGTTGTCATTTCTTATGCCAATTTGGAAAGTTAGAGATATCCACTGTTTCCCTCTTCCCACCCCCACCCCAGTATAAGCTTCTTTTTACTGGTTGTAAATAATATCTCCATTTCAACAAAATTCTGGAAGTTAAATTGTATGTGGGTCAGAAAAAGAGTTACATTTTACCGCCATTCCAAGAAATACTGTGTGGCAAAATGATAATGAATGTTAAGGTAATCCTTGTTTTCCAAGGTTAATTGGGATTGATTTTGTCAATCAGACAAAAAAGAATGAAAATACTTTTGTTATATTTATGCAGGATTTGCATATATAGATTTTTAGTTCTTGCATAATAGCCACTGACTCTTGTGAGTCCATAATTCTATTTGAATGAATGAATGTTAGTTTTTGTATATGTTACTGTGTTAAGATAATGAGGCTATTTAGTTACTCTTTTGTCCGTATGGGAGAGCAGAAAGGGAAGAATAGGTCCTCAGTGAGGAGTGATTGGTATAAACAGAGCATGATGAAGTTTGGAGATGCCTCGCTAGAGTCTCCTGCAAGGTGACAAATGGACAGTTAAATATCGGTCGAAAGATCTCCAGTGGAGAAAGGTCAAGGCATGAAAATGGTATCTATGTGGATATTAAGGCAACTAGTGGCCCCAGTGCTTAGAGCCCTAGGCCTGGAGTCAGAAAGATCTGAGTTCAAAATCTGGCCTCAGAAACTTACTATCTGTGTGACTGGGAGCAAGTCACTTACCTTTGCCTCAAGTTTTCCTCAGCTGTAAAATGGCATAATACTTACCTCCTAGGGTTGTCGTGAAGACCAAATGACAATATTAGTAAAGCACTTAGTCCGTTGCCTGGTACATAGTAAGTGCTATGTACCTGTCAGTAGATAACTGAATGAAAATATTCGTATCTGTTGTAGAATGCTTGGAACTTGAGATGTGATTTAACCTAACATCAAGGATTGTAGAAATCTGGGCCTATAAAAAAGCCAAGGGTGTAAATACCCTGACAGAAGCTGCTGCTTTTGTGTTAGCATATATTTCTGCATTTCAAATGTAGAGTATGCTTGTTCTCATCAAGTTAGATATACATTTTCTAAAGTCTTCTGAAATTACAACTTAAAAGGAGACTACCCCTCTAAGATAATAGGAAGAAATGCTGGAAAAAGAGGGATGCCAAATTTAGCATAGAAGATGTGACAGAGACACTGATATGTTTGGCTGATTTGAAAGTTCATAGCCTTGGCTCTCTCCAGAACATTAAGATGGCAAGAACATCCATCTGCAGCTTATCAGAAGTCTCTAGTAATTAAGCTGTGACTCACAGAAGATGCTGATCAATTCTAATTTCAATATCTATAGCTTTACATCTGAAGATGGAGAAGTTGACCGTGGCAGCAACAATGTTGTAAAATATTGCAAAGAAACAATATCGCAGTTGTATTGTCAAGTTCTCTTCTCCATTTCCAACCATAAACATCAAATGAATACACGTATCTACAGTTCACTTGATGTAATACAGACTTAGATTTTGATATTTAAATGTTATAAAAGCTTTTTACTCCTTTTCTGTTCTTTAGATGTAATATACCTATTTTCACTTCAAATCACTTACCTTTAGCATGACCAAACTAAATGGAATTCTCTAATTTTGAGAGAAATTGATTTTGCCAGGGAACAGTTCCAATGCATTTTCTCCAGGCTTTGTATTAAAGATAGTTGTTTGTTTGTTTGTTTTAAAGTTTATGTTAAAGATAGTCATAGAAAAGTTTTTAGAAATAAATTATCTTAATAGTATAGGTATAAGGATATGTGTACATATAGGTACTGAATAAGTAAGCTTGTTTATTAGTGCCTATATTTCTGCTTGTAAAAACAAAAAAAGAGAAAACCAGTATTTATTTTTTCTTTTTAAAAATTTTTTTTGGGGGGCAGCTCAGCGGATAGAACACTAGCCCTGGATTCAGGAGGATCTGAGTTCAAATCTGACCTCAGACACTTGACACTTACTAGCTGTGTGACCCTAGGCAAGTCACTTCATCCCATTGCCTTGCGGAAAAAAAAATTATTTGTTACCTTCATGTTGAAAGCTTCTCTGTCCAAATCAAGGTAACCTTGATGTTATCTTCATTTTTGACAATATGTATTCCTCCCAGTCAACTTCCCAGAGAACTATCCTTTGTAACAAAGGAAAAAAGGGAGGAGGGGGCAGTAAACGAATCAACACGATAACTGAGCCTAATATATGTAGTTTTCCTCTCTCATAGCCTACTATCTCTGAAAAGAAGGGAGAAAGACACATTATCTCATGTTTCCCTCAGATCAGCTTGGTTATTATGATTACCGATTATTGGTTTCTGTTTGTATTGTCATAGTGTATATTTTTTTCCTGGTTCTTTCTTTACATCAGTTCATATATTTTTTCTTACATTGAATTAATACTCCATTACATTCATGTACTACAATTTGTTTAGCCATTCCACAATTAATGAATATCAGCTGTGTTTCTGTAAAAATATTATTATGAATATTTTGGTGTATATGGGACCTTATTTTCTGTTTTTGACCCCTTTGGGGTATATGCCTACTGGCCTACCAAGCATTTTTAAAAATAAGTGTTTAACATCACCAGTGCTACATGTTTTAATTAAGCAATGTGAAAAGGAAAGGAAAAAAATTTTAAACTATTTTTCTGTCCAATGATAATCTGTCATAAGAATCTTACTAGTCTTATACTAAGTGCTTGATAGTATCTTTTCATGCTTGTCACTAAAGTGCTAGTACATAAGAGATTTCCTATTGGAACTTTCCTTAGCTGGTGGGGATTGGATATCATCTGGGGAGTAAAGTTAGGATGCCTAAAAAAAGATTTGTCTTTTTCAGCTTCAGTTGATTAGAGGTCACATACTAGAGTTTTGGCCTTTATTCAAAGAATAGTGTAATATAAGAAGCCCTGGAATAGTGACTGGAAGCACTGGAATCTGACTTATGGTTAGGAGTCAGATTTTTAAAGAGTCCTGAAGTCTGAATGGCCTTACCTGCACATTTTAGGAGGAGGGGTAAAAATATAAGTTCATTTCTAGATGCAATGTAGAAGGGAGATGACAGGTTATAGGATGTAGGGGTTAGGGTGGTGGACTTGGAGTCAGAAAGACCTGAGTTGAAATTCTCCTCGAGACACTAGCCATGTAGTCCTGGACAAGTCTCTTAAACTCTTCAGGACTCAGTTTTCTCATCTCTAAAATGGATCAGAGGGTAGACTCAAAGACCTTTAAGGTCCCTTCTAGCTCTAAATGCATGAGTCTGTGACCTTAAAATTCATGGCTGTGTGTTCACTGGGTAATCATTTATTTTGAAGGGTTGTCTCTGGTAGGATCAGAGTAACTTGTAGATTTCCTATAATGGAGATACACTTTTGGTTTCATTCTTTCTGATCCATCCATCCTTAAAACCAGTTTTCTGGTTCAAAACTGTGGTTCAAGAAATCTTATCCAGTTTTGCATAGTATAGTGGTCTGATCCTAGTGATGAGTTTCTGGAGGTGGAAAAGAAACAAATGTAGGTGTTCTTTTATCTTGTCAGCTGTGGACCTTTTGTCAAGTTATCTTTGAAGGCTTTTAAGGGGAGAATTTGTTAGCCTTTGTTCTAAAAGGCTAATAATATGAAGGACCTTCAGTAAGACCAATTAGATGCACTGAGTTCAAGAACATACCATCAAGGAGAAGGTATCAGTTATTAATGGTCTGCTGAAGGGTATCTGACAGGGGTTAGTTCTGTTTTGGGTGTTTTATGATAGGCCTACAGTTTTCAGGGGTGTCTCAGGGGAAGGGAGTCTGTTTGGAAGTCTAGTTAAAGCAATTAAGTATGGTCATTGCCTAAACAAATCACTCAGACATGCACAATCAAGTTACAGATTATTCATTTAATATTTAGCTGTGTTCTGAGGTTTCTTGTTATTCTCATGAGTCAACAAAGTGGGCACTGGGAGTTAGTACAGTAAGCAGTGAATCACCCTTTCAGGAATAGGTGTGTAAATGCCGTTTCCAAAAGTGTGCCTGCCCCTCAATCTCTTGAGCTAG